CCATGGTTCACTTTCTAAAAAGGCCATTCATTTCTGTCTAGAATGATGTACAAATGAGCGTTCTTGCTCATTTTGCCTCCGAGATATGAGCAAAACGGGGACGGAAAACATGGAATTTTGGCATAATCTTGCACCTAAGTGTCTGATATTCACATTTCGCTTTCTGAGTCAAAACTACTCGAATTTCCTCACTCACGTTCTTACGGCTGAATCGACTTTTCAATTCTCTATTCAACGATGCCAAAACGAATTCTGAGGATTGAATGGTTCTTGAGAAACTTCGAAAAAAGCAGGGTCATGTTCAAGTGAATTTTGCAACTCAAAAAAAAAACCCGCAAATCTAAAACTTCTTGAATTCAAGCATTTTTTAAGAAAACTGGCAACATTTCCCCATCCATGGTTCACTTTCTAAAAAGGCCATTTATTTCTGTCTAGAATGATATACAAATGAGCGTTGCAAAAACGGGACGGAAAAATGAAATTTTGCGATAATCTTGCGCCACCCTTGCACAAAACGACGATCATTTTTCTAATTTCATAAACAACAGAAGACTGTATTTTTTCTACTAACCCCCCCCCTGACTTTAAAGCTGAATCCGCCCCTGCTTTGGTGTCTGCTAAGCAACACTTTTTAACTCAGAACACCCGTTTACTCTTGTCCGTAGTATCGCTGCTGAAAATAATTTTTTATTTCTGTTTTTAGATGCAAAACTATCTTTAATCAATCGCCGAGATTGATAACTTCGTTTGACGTCGACTATGATTTAAGCCCAGAACAAAAAATTTTAAGAGACGCGACTCGGTCGTACTATTTAAACTATGTACGAAGTCTGTCCAAGCAAAAGGACTCAAAAAATTATCAAGAAAAACTTGAAGACTATTTAACTACGAACCACAAAAAACTATTGATGGAGAACGAGAGAAAAGGATGCTGCGATTCCGCGTATTTAGTTGGCAAGCCTAAGCACAGACTGTTTATTCCTCTGACACCATATGAAATCCACAACCTTGTTGTAACCCCAAAATTTATTCAATTGGGAAAGGTGAGTCGGATATTTTCTCGCTTTAAATAACATTGTTTTGATTATTGGTCTAAAATCAAATATTTTCATTCAACCATTAATTTTTATGAAGATGCAACTTCTATTGCACGGTCTAAGTAATCACCCTGTATATGCAGTACATGCAAAATTGGCGTCATTTCTCTGGGGGTGTTGTGTGGGGGAGTTGCTTGAGGAAAACAGAACAATATAAAATAGTTTAAATGTTATTAAAAATTGAGATATTTGCAAAAAACCAGATCAGAAAACTGGCATCAATGTTTCTCAAGGCAATCTGGCCTATTAACGTTACGTAAATTCTTGTTGCTTGTTAATCATTGGTTAACCCTGTGGTAACCATGGGCATTTTAATATTTTAGCTAAGATGTTTTGTCGTCAGTGCTGCCAACCTTTTTGGGGCCGAGGTGTGATATATCTCACCCTGTATATTTTCATAATGTTTATTTTAGCTAGCAGCAGATAGCGAGTGTTCGGACCACTTCAAAATAGAAAATAGGAATACCTTTCCCATTCATATATCAATTAAAGCACTATATCCATCAATTAGAATAGAACACGGAGAGTTTATTCTTGGGGCCAATGAACAGAAGAATATCGATTTCATCTACCATTCGGACTACGGGGGAAATCACCATATTCCCATGTTTGTCATTATGAACTTTTTTCATGTTATCGATCTGACGGTTTTAGCCACCATAGTTGCTAATACTGTGAGGTGCCTGAATAGGAACATTTTCATAGTTCCCACTGAGAAGACCACCTTTTTGGAATTGGCCAATCCTATAAATAGCGATGTTAGTTTTGAGATGGACACGAAATATTTTCATTTGGAAGCATTTCCGAGTAAAGGAATTATTCCTGCGAAGCGAAAAATGACCATAACAGTCACGTTTAATCCTGAAGTTGGATACATACCCATTAAAGAGATCGCTGTTATATCCGAAAGTGGCTTCAAAGAACTTATAGAGGTTCAACTGTAGTGTTGTACATACGAGCGTTAAATGAACCGGTTTATTTGCGCAGGTTCATTTTGAACACAAAAAAGCGGTTGTATCCATCAGCAGGGATGTTATAGAATTTCGAGATGTTCCCTTAAACACAGAAGTTAGGCAGGAACTCATCATTCAAAACAAGTCAGACCAGTTGGTGCCAATAAATATTGAACTGGAAGACAGTGATCTGTTTCCCGAACTGGAAATCACTCCCATGAAAGCTCTGCTTTGGCAAAAAGCAGATGTAGTAATCAGCATCACTCTGAAGATGACGGCAGTATGTTCAATCAAAAAAACGCTCCGTGTGGGAGCTGTTGGCGTAACTCTTCCAATTGTTACAGCTAGTCGATTTCAAGGTGCCAATCAAAATCCGATTTCAACATGAGTATTCCAGAGATGTAACTATAAAAGGGAATGTTGTATATCCAGTTGTTAGTTTTCGGCCGGAATTGATCAAAATTCCGAAGGTTCCTTCCGGTTCTACTGTGTCCACACCTTTTAAAATATACAACAACTGTAACGTATCAAGTTATATTCAGTTTGCAATGGAAGACTACCCAGAGTTCACCATCCGAACCAAATTTGGTGAAAATATAACAAACGCGAAGGTGAGTCAGTCAGCACATTTGCTTCTACCGTTCAATGCTTATGTGAGCGAATCAACAGCAACTGTTGGATGCAAATGAGTGCTTAGACATGATGTTGTGTATGTTGTAACAAATGTCACATATTCAACACACCTATAGGAAATCGTTTTTTACTAGACGGCTTTAAAGCTTCTTTTTTAGGAACTGGATATATTACCAAGTCTTCTAACGTAATCTCTTCAGAACAACATCATCGCTGTCCACATAATTACTGTCACTGAGACCCAAGTCTCCTACAATGTTCGCCTCTCTATCCTGTCCAACATTGGCATTAAAATGTCCCATTCTGATGGTGATATCCGATATCTTGAACGAGATTGATGTTAACCGGTTTTGAGGTCAGCTGGATCATTATGAGTCTATCAAAAGAGACAGACTTTCGAGGCCATTCCTTGAAACTAATGGGTTTTTCGG